GCTCCGCATACCAAAATTCAGTATCCTGGAAACTATCCAGTATTTCCTGTAAAATGATCAATACCCACAAGTCATGAGGTTTTTCAGAGGAAATAGAATTGTCAAGTACAAGACGCAACAGATGGTTGACTAACTATAAGCATCATGTCAAGCTTCTGCAGTGCCGGAAGGTTGATGTAAATATCCGACCTTGGTCTACTTGTCATCATCTGGGTGACATCACAGGATCCAATCAGATATAAACAGATATTCCAAACAAAGACCATCAAACTATAGTCATGGTTTTAGCAAAATTTCACCTCTATTATGGTGCCATCTAAATACTGTGCAGTTGGGGCAAATTCGACTATGTAATCACAGACTGATAGAAGACATTTCATTTCCCTACTCCACATAGCCTTCTTCTCAGGCTTCAGAGGCTCCAACTTCAAATTTTGTCCAAAAACAGTAGCTGCAGACATTAGAATTCAGAATCAACTACCATATCAATGGAGTTGATTGTCTTTTGAGAACCAAATCAAGGGAGTACACAAAGTTTGCTCTCAAATCCAAAATATAATGCATGAAATTTCAACAGGATCATGCAATAATTACTATGAAAGAATTACCATAAAGGTTGGTAATGGCATTTGAGATTGTGACAGCAGTGCAGACACCTTTCCCACCGCCAGACATATCCTCCCCAAGAAGAAGCTTAGCGAATTTTTCCTTCATCATTTCAAGTTCTGCTAATTTTCCATAAACATTAAGATTATTACTAGCCTTAAAGACAAAAATTTACAAATAACCGCACAACCTCTACAAAACCAACCTGATTCTAAGGGATCCAGGTCTTCAAGTTTATTATCCAATGAATGCCTGCCCGGTTTTATCCCTAGCCTTGTAAGAACTGCTTGATTGGTAACGGGTTTCGCAGTGAGACACCAGGAAGGTGAGGGCTCACCAGCAGAGCTATTGTCATCAACAGGCTCTGAGAAATTAGAGGCCTGAGAGTTAGACCGGCAGTAGGCGAAAGAATCACTACTAAATGTGGAATACCCAGTGGCTGATTGATCATTCTGATCCACAGAGGAAGCTGAAGGCTGATAACCAACATCACAATTTTCGTCAAAATTTGACGAATTGTCCATCTGAGCTCAAGATTCTGTGGTCAAATTCCTCAACCTGCACGCAATCATGATAATTGTGTCTCACATTAGGTTTTGGACTTTTAGGGTTCCCAATTCAAGAACTTCATGATCACCTACAGACACACAAATTTAATGGGACGCTAACATATATGCACAATTTATAATGAAGCTAAACTGCATAAATCCAAAACGAAATAAAAGGGGAAATGAGATCAAAAGAAAAAGCTGAAAGCTTCAACATTTTCCTGTCTTCTGAAAGCACAAAAGCAGAAAAGCTAACCAAAGAATGTTCTTGCTGGTGAGACCAAAAGTACCAGAATGAGAAGTCACGGCTAAAGCTCTCAACATATATAAATAAGAGAAAGTACTACTCTTTCATTGCTTTCCGACAGCAAAACAAACTGAAATTTTGAAAACTCGAAAAGAACAACAACGGTTAGAAAAGATAAAAAATAAAAGCAACGGTCGCCAACAGATTTTTCTCTGTAGCTTTCAAAGTTACCTTTTTTTTGAATAGAAATAGAAGCGAGAAGCTAAAACGGAAGAAGCATTTGAAACAGTAACCCCTCTGGCCAGAAGCGCTGTGGGGCTTAATAGCCTTCTCTGATGAGGCTTCACATGCCAAAAAAGGAAACTGCTCTTGGAAGAATATCAAAAAGAGGGAAATTATTGTGCTGAAGAAGAAGGAAGCAAAGAGAATTTCCCCAGCAATGGCGAGATTCCTCCACGGGTGAGGAAAGAGGTGGGAGATGAGAACAAGACGTGCAAGCGGTGTTTTTATTACAGTTGGACTGGGTAATGAACCTCAGGTTCCAGTCCTCTGTCTCGTCTGTTTATTATATGGATGGTCGTTAATGATGCATGTTATTGGGTTATTTAGTAGTAGTATTTTTTTTATTTTTAATTAAAAAAAATTAGGACCAGTCTCTCCCATATATTTAAAAAAAAAAAAAACGTTTGTGACGTAAGTGATAAAGTTTGTGCCTTGCTATGTGCCCTACTGCGCTGCTACTTCCACTCGGATTCACATCAGATTTTAATAATAAATTTACACTTTCAAAAACAATTAAATTTAAATAATCAAATTTAATGCCCCGATTTATAACCACGGTGATCTCTTCTCATTTTAATGATTAATCGGGACTCTTATAAAATTTATATTCTGTAAGAATATGATATTTTTTATTCTTAGAAGTTTTAGATACCTGTAAAATATTCTGTTCAAGATAAAATTCTTTTTAAATTTTATTAAACCTTAAGAATATTTAACATTGACTTTTTTCAAAGAATATTTTGTTTGGTGAACATTGTACTTCTTCGCCTAAATTGGCGCTGTCTGTCAATTGAAGTTTGGTTGGCCCGTTTTTTTTTTTTTTTGGGGTCAAAAGCACGTAAGTTTAATTTTAAAGAAGTAACTATTCTAAATGTCTCTGGATTGAACAATAATTACAAGCGGACTGGATTTTATAAAGTCAGAATATTTTGATAATATCAAACTTCATATGAAAATGTTTGTTCTTTTTGGCCAACTATATGTGTAAAACGTTTAGTACAGTTTGTGTTAATTATCAAAATAAATTATTTAAAGAAATTTTAATCAGTAGCTAGTACTGTTAAATTGAGCAGAAAAACACAACTGATTTTTTTTTCCATACAAGTATCAAACATTATGCGCGCGCGCGCGTGTGAAGATCTGACTTTTGTGTTGCTTACTTTGGTTCACGGGCGAAGAAGCTGGTGGATTTTGGTATCGAATATCAGTGACTTGTATGCAAATATATAAAATATTTGATGGCCAAAAGGAAAGAAGGGTCTTCTAATACTACTTCCGCTGCCTAATATAATATAAGAGTTAATTTAATTATAAGTATGAGATGTTAATTTATTTCTTCTTTTATATTTATTTATTTTTTTAATATAGTTCTTATAAAAGTTTTACATGTTAAATGTTTTTATTAAGTAGTAATTTTATCTAATATACATAATTATTAAAGATATTTTAAAAAACTAACTCTTATTTATTACAAATAACTATCCTAACCAATTTTTTTTTAATATACTTAAATTAATGAACTAGTTCTTAGGTTAAAACAAAATTATTGGATGAGGTGAGGTCAAGGGCTGATTTGGCAGCATGTGAAGCAGATGAACACGAACATACCCACGAGTTTCGACGTTCTCTACAGATCGCCAAAATAGTAGCGAGTCATTTCTTCAACGATTAATATTTTAAACCAAATAGTACAGAAAAAGTAAATTTAATATTCTGTATTACAAGCTCTGTTTTTTGTTGGTGTATGATAAAACAGATCTTTAAATCTAAGATTTACTTCTGTTGATAATTTTCCCAATTTATCTTTGTTGCCTGCTATACATCATTCTTAATTATAAAATTTATAGAGTGGATGAGATTTATATTAATAAAAAAAAAGAAAATTATAATCAAGTTTCACAGAAGAAGAATAATTACTAAAAAGTTCTAATAACAATCTTAACAACCTATAATGACAAGTCCTATAATGAGAATGACAACATCTGCGACTTGTTTTTCAATTGTTTTCTTTGCTTGAAATCTCATTATAATTCTCTCTAAAAAAAATAAGATAAATTTATAAATACAGAGCAGCACTAGTTTGGTTGATACTTGATATAGTACTATGTATTAATAATAATAATAATTTTTTAAATTTGTAACATGAGATGGACTATCAATATTATTAGCTGGCTACATTCAGTGAATTTCCTGAATGAGAGATAAATACGGAGGAAAGGTGAGGCAATGAAATCTGAATAAAGGAACATTAATTTTGTCATTTTTATTTTGATGGTTTGAAATTTAATACATGTGGTTGGCTGGTCTTGTCGGATGTTAGCCAGGAAAGCATCCATGTGAACAAATATTAAATTAAATTTGATAATAATATTAACAATATTCTTCCCTGTGGGTTCATGAGGCGCACATATTATTACTAATATCAGATTAACATCAGATTAACTACTATTTAGTGTATGTATTTTTATTTTTTTTTGCAACTTGTCATACCAAAAAGAATGGAAATCCCTAATTTAACCATTAATTTCAATTAACTTGATTTATTTATTTCAAGAGAGATTTTGCATTTTAGAGACATAAAAAATCAGGAACATATGCAGAAAAACGTGCCCACCATTTCTCTCAAATGTATAGTTTGATGGTTCCAAAGAATATATGGTCGGTAGTTGAAGATTGAAAGTCAAAATAATTTTCAAATAGTATACTACATTTCAGTCCCAGGCAAAAAAAAACAAGAAGAAGAAGACGAAGCACACTTTCCACCAATCCGAGGCCTTTTTTTTTTTGGCATTTTCATTAAAAACAAATATCTTAGGTCTCTAGAAGCTTATAATTATATTTCTCTCCCTCGGTGAAAGGACGAAATTTAGTATAATTTTTTGAAAAATATATTTGTCAATACTTAGTATCAATACTTTAAAAGTATATCAATTGGATTGAGATAGGATATTCTTTTTCTGCATTTCACAATGGGACAAGGAAAAAAGGAGATAAAAAAGAGGAGAAAAAGCGAGATCGCATAAATATAGTTAATGTTTTGTCACAACACGGCAATCCTAATTTCTCTTATAATCTTTGTCTTTGGTAATCTTGTTATTATTGTTGCATAAAAAGAGGATTTTGTACCATGATATTCTCCACAACTTCAAAATGGATCTAAAGATTGAACCACCTCTTTCTTTCTCTATATCATTTGATTCTCCAGCTGCTTCAATAATCTCGTGCTTTTCTTTCTGCAGGAAACTCTAATTATATAAGTTTGCCATTTCACATGCACACTTAATTTCAATAGCAAAAGTATAAAAAGTGGATTTCAATCAAGAAGAAGAAAGCCTTACATTTACGAAAAGTTTGAATCCGATTTTTATCTGTCCTCTGTAGGTGCCATCTTCAAGCACCACATTGTATGGAGCTGGTTTTATTTCTATATATCCTTTTTCTGTCCCTTCTGAGATTATTCTTCCTATGTAAATTCTGCTTTTAAAAAAATGAAAATTATGCACTATGATTTAACTTTACAGCAAGTAAAATGTGTGGAAATCGCAGAAGGTGGATTTAATTAAGTGGATCCTGTGTATTGTCAAAGATTATTTAATTTTTTTCTACTATTATCTTTCAGGTGGGAATTCGCTGAAAGCTAATGAAGGAGAACAAAAAAGAGAAATATATTACCTGGATTCACCCACAAATCCTCCATTTGTAAATATTTCTGTGTCCATGATTGTGCACTTGAGGTGGCTTAACTTCTTACTATCGTCAAATGATGAGAATTCAAATGTGAATTTCTCATTCCACCAAGTCTTCTCATCTTTTCCTGCATATTATTTTTCACAACCCATTTATTATTTATTTTATATTAACAAAAGTAATAAAATTTAGTAGCTATCCAAAGTAAAAAGCATGGATGGTTTAAAGATTGCCATTGATGATAAAGATGGTTACTCAAAGAGAACTACAATAAATTTTATTTGCAAAAATTAAAGATATTTTAAAACATAGACATCAGTTGTAATTAGTTAAGATGTATCTGATCATATGGCTAGTTTTCATTGGGTTGTACATTGTAATGGAAATTATTGTTTATAATTGCTGCACAGGGGAGTAAAAGCTAGTTCATGTATAAAATATACAATGAAGTATGAGCAGTCGCATTCTTCATAAGGTATAACGTTGCAATTAACTTCAAACTCCGTTGAATAAACTAATATAGTTTTATCTAAAGATTTCCCATTAAATTAAAAAACATGCGGCTGAACGTACAAGAAGAAAAAAGTAACTAGACCTGATGATATTTTGCTTCTTTGAGATTGAGTTCCCCATTCAAGAATCACATAATAGGATGGCTTTCCTGACAGCAAGTTCAAAAACATTTTGTTTTGTTCAGTCCTAGACTGTAATCAGACATACGAGAGAATCCCCATAAAAAAAAATTTTTTTGACATCTCAAATAAAAAATGTTTTGCTATTTGCAAGTTCATTGTTTCAAAATCTATTGAAGTCTTGAAACAAAACCTGATTTGAAATCTAGTAATATCAATTTTTTTTTTTGTGGAATTCTCCCAGATATTGAAACTTGAAAGAAAAATAGAGAAAGAAATTAATATATATCAACTTTTTTTTTTTACACAGAAATATCGTGTGTACCAATAAAGTTGGTACGCTTGATGTCTTTAGCATAAACCAGAAGGACTTCAAGAATTCCTGCCTTCATGTTTTGTGTTCTTGATTTTGGATCCAAAGATTTGGTAATTCTTGTGATGTGCTGTTTAGGAATAATATAAGAATATAAGAATAGCCAAAACTCGAATACTTATTGTGAGCGGTGAAATTAAAGCGATAAGTTACTCAACTAAATAAAGTAGTTGAGGTTTCAATTGGAGTTACGACTTGCAAAGAATTTAAATGAGAAGAAAAAAAGTATTTTTGTTTTGTTAGTTTAGATTTAAGTTTTGCTTTCTCTTATCACATATATGGTCTTAGAATGAATGGGAAGAGAGGAGAATTAATTCGATATAAATTGAAAAAAAATATTAAAAATTCTTTCAAATTATTTCAATTTTTTTAGAATCAACTGGATGTTGGTTTTTGATAGATACAACAGAAACGCATTGTCTTACTCTTTCAGAATATTTTCTATATTTCATTCTCCAAACTTTGATAACGGCTTTACGGCAAGCATTTTAACAGAAGTAATTGTACGACTTAATCAAGAACTGACCCGGTGAATAATTTATATACTCACTCTAACTGAAACATGTAAATACACCAAATAACGCTCTGTTTTGAATTCAATGCATTCATTAGTATTCGTTTGTTGAAGCGATACTGAATTATATAGTCATTTTTTTTAATAAAAAAAGCATACTCGGATAGCGTACGTAGTAACAAGAATTTCTTAACACTCTCCTACACATACTTATGTGCATGATGGATATGAACACCCTGAATTTATTTAGGAGAAAATTGTTTGTTTGTTTTTTCTTGGCCACGCACAGGGATCTTTTTATTAATCTTGTTGACATTAACTGTAGGTACATCTCTCGACAAAATTCAAATATTGATTTGTCATATTAGAAGAGACTAATCTATTTTCTGGTAGACATAACCCCGTTGGTAAATATTGTTTGTTTATTTTTCTATGAAGTTAATTTACCCTTTGGAAAATTTGTAGGGAAGTGACCGATAAATCAGACGCAATTAGAATTCTTGTTTTACAATGGCCTAAATGTAAGAATAGTCAATAAAGTCGAATGAATGCAGAAAGATTAAAACAACACAGATTAAGAAGCAGTAATTAATGTGATAAATACTACATCAATTAGGATCGATTGTATTCAAAGCAATGGCCAAGATAATCAGTAGTATTAAGCATGCAGGGTCGATCTTCCCAAATTCCCCACAAGCATGTATCACAAAGCTTATCGTCTCTCCATCCAATGTATATGTCGAACCATTTAAGAGCAGCACCAGGCCATTGGAAGCTACAATAGTACTGAGTCCTCCCAAAGAAATTCACACGGAACGACCACTCGAAGTGCTCGCCATAACCAATCCGATGAGGTTGCAGGTCGTCGTCTTCTGATCTGCAATGAAGGATCAGATCCTGATGGTGCTCCAAATAGTTGAACACTTTGACGCGCGTCTTCGCCAACATTAAGAATCCATCGACTCCGTTTGATTTTGATGATGCCAACCACAAGAGCACCGCCGACAGTATTAACAGCCCTATGTTCTGCTGAAATCTCCGAGGCATCCTTGTTCTGGAACCCGCCGGAGAAGATCAGGAGAGTTATTATCTTCCGAAATGGGTTTGATTACGGTTTTAATTCATGCAACGAGTAATTTATATCTATTGTCAGTTGGGAGCCACCTAAATTACCTTCGAGTTTGGTTTTTTAGATGAGACGACGGGCTGTTGTAACTTAAAATCGTTATAAATAGAAATTTAGCTAGGTTGCTTAGTTATTACCTGTTCGGTATTTAATTAACAGGGTACCAGTTGGCAACTAAGGGTGTGTTTGGATGAAATCAAACCGTGGTTTGAAAAAGTGATTCTGGAGAATAGATTCTGGGAAGAATAGATTCTGGAAAGAATAAATGTTATAAAAAAGTGATTTTGAGAAGTGAGAGTGTTTGGATAGTTGTTATCAGAAGCACTTTTTATATATACAAATTACTAAAAAAAAAGACATAAGTTAATATGATAATTACAGAAAAAATAGATTTTATGATATATTTTAATTTGAAGGAATAAAATTGTTAATAATATATTTTTTATTAACATAATTAATAATACATAAGATAATATAATTAATAAATAATTAATATGTATATATATTTTTAAAATATAAGATTAAATATGTTTATAAAAAAAATAACAAGATACATATCCTATAAGCTCTCACACTCTCCTTTTTTTCTCTAAAAGTAAAAAATTTCTGCTTTTTCCAAAACCATGGTTTTGGTCCAAAACCACGGTTTGCCCAAAACCAATGGGTGTTTGGGTGACTTATCACCCAAACCATGGTTTGGGTCCCCAAACCATGGTTTGGAGTGTCACCCAAACGGGGCCTAATTAAAGCATTATTATGTGTTTTGATTTTTCAATTTTTTATTGAAGAATTTGAAGTTATGCTTGACCTAATTAATGGCAAAATAATAAAAGTATGTTAATCACTTTTTGAATGTAGAGGCAGAAATTTAATACCTGAACGCACAACCAAGAATCCAAACATGCTCCCAACTAACCAATATGTTATTTTTGTGGTTAAATTGAAGGGGCGGGACTTGTATTTTATTTTTTAGATAAGTTTGAAAGACGACTTTATGGATTATTAAAAAAATTGTATCTCTAACTGGGTCCAATAATATTTAAATTTAATCTAATGACATCATATAATAGATATATAAATATTATAACAAAAATTTTATGGCAATTATTTACTTTGAATAATGTATGTGAAGCAAAACCAAAAAAAGGTGATAGCTGAAGAGCACAAGTCTTAAATTGAAAGATCTTTGGTTTTAAGAAAAGCTGCATATCAAGAACTCAAGCATTAGCGTGGAACCTTGAGTTTTGTATCTAACTTTAATATTTAGAGACATATATATATATATATATATATATGCAATACACACATACATATACCAATATACGCTTCGATTTCCAGTAAATTGAACTACTATTATCAATCCTCATAACTCGACTTCATTAGAATGATAATGCGTATGCGACGAGATATTCTAGCTCAGTTTGAAACCAAGCGACCTGAATATAATGGTCAGTGTCAATCAAATAACGGAACAATTAAATTCAACTGTATATGTCTCCGAGAAAATCAAACTTGGTAAGATCCCTTGCTAGCTAGGAGAGAGTATAATATGAATGTAGGAGCAACTTGGGCACTTGAGATAACTGAATAGGCCAAAACTGCATAGATAGTTTGTACGTATTACTGTTACATTGTTTCGTGCATAGTGGCCACTTGCTGCGGAGTGAGAGTTATAGGAGCCTTTGTTTTGGATTGCATGTATTCTCTTCTTGAATGCATGCAGAATTGTCTCACGTTTTGAAATTTCTTCGAGTTTTGTTTTTTCTGACAGATTCAATATTTCACTGCCCTTAATTATTAGTCGTCGCGGAAGATATACATTCGCCGACAACGTTGACGGGGTTTATTTCTTGGGAGTATGCAACTACGTATTCTCAATTTTTTCCCTTCATTCATTCATTCACCCTTTGTTATTTTGCCACCCCTTGTTTGGTGGGATGCTTATGAGCATCAGTATATAATGGAGGTGAACATATTTCCCTCTTGCCGAAAGGGATCATCACAGTCTGAGTTTTGCATTTAGATACATTATCTCATCACGTTCGATCGTCTTCCCCTTTTCAATTATTCGCATTGGTTTAACATACCCTACGTTCTCTATGAGCCATATAATCTTCTGTAATTTTGTTGTCTATTATGAACCAACGTATTCCAGTCACTTGGATTGGTATAATACTGATTACAGTGGATTGCATGTGCTCTGTAATGATCAGCTGCTGCGTGTGAAAATGGCCTCTAATCAGAATGATGCTAAGAATCCATATTCGGATTACAATAGGAGTTGTGAAAGCTGCAGGAGGGCCGGTACGTGCAGCATCCCCATGCATGGAAGCTCACAATAGAGACCATTACTTCAACAAGTTCAATCATCGTCTGGGACGCAACGAACAGGCTTTGCATCGCTGCAGAGCCTTCCTTATCAATAAAGAACAAGACATACGCAGAGTTTGTCATTTACAGAATGAGGATGATGAATTTCGTAAGTTCGACAATAACGAGGATAATTCCTTCGTAGACATGGTATTCTATGACTCTGTCTCTATCATGGAGCTCTTCCTCGGGCATCAGTACTGGGATGATGATGCGTCGAATCCAACGTGGCGTCTTTTGGGCATCCAGCGAGACATGCTTCTGCTCGAAAACCAGCTTCCACTTTTTGTGTTGCAGGAATTACATCGTAGTGTTGTGCATCCTGTTCTCCGTGAGCATTCAAGTTTCTTTGACCTTGCCCGTGACCACTTCCATGATAATTTTCTAGATGCCGGATCTTCAGCTAGAAAAATAATGAACGCGGAAGAAATGCGACAACTGAAACACTTGACCTATTTTATTCGGTATTTTTATGTTCCAGATCGATGGTCTGTACCAAAACCAGGTAAATGTCAGTATTCAGGTGTGTTCTATAGTGCAAAAAAGCTGAACAAGGCCTTGGTTTGCTTTGAAGCGGTCGATAGCGGTAAATGCTTACTTGACATAGAGTTCAAGAAAGGATTTCTATGCTCTCGACAGTTTTAAGTTCCCACAGCTGAAAATAGACGAGACAACAGAAAGTGTTCTTCGGAACATCATTGCGTTCGAGCAGCATCACTTTGCTGGTGCGGGACAAGATTTCGTTTCCAACTACGTTGCTCGGCTTGATGATCTGATTGACGATAACGAAGACGCAGCTCTGCTTTTTGAGAAGCAAATCACTGTGAACGCGCTGGGAAGCAACGAGGAAGCGACCGAGATGATCAAAAGCCGAGCAAACTACTAGTGATAACATCAAAGTGTGCTCCTGCCAACTCACCAAGGAAGTTAATGGGCACCATGATAGCTTTTGGACTAGGTTTTTGTCGGTGTATTTGGGGGATATTCGGAGAGTTGGTATGTCTGCGGTGGGACTTGCTGTCTTCGTCTTCAGCACCATCAACACTGTCCGTACATTCATGAAGGGATTTTGGGATGAGATGGTTCGTCTTTTATTCTCGTAACACAGTTGCAGTAGTTTTATATGCTTTGGCAGTTCCCCATTTAATAATTTACCCAAAAGAAAAGAAAAGAATACCTGTGAAATTTTTAACTTTAATTTGGCGCACCCGCAGTGTGAAAAGACGGATAGGAATGGTATGCCGAGATGGAGTATTTGAGCAAGGAATTACCAATCATTGAAGACGATGGTTTCCAAATATTGATAAATGTTCCTCCTTTCTAAATCTATTTTTTGGAAACTTAATAATCCAACACACCATTTTTAATTTTTCAAAAAAAAAAAAAGGTAGATATAACAATCCAACATACCATTTTTAGTTTTTCAAAAAAAAAGTAGATATATTTAATTTCGAACCATTGCATGATTAAATATTAAGATCCATGTTCAAATACGAAAATTTAAATAAAATATCTACAAACCCAAAACGAACACGTCAAAGACATAAATTATTATTTAATTATGAATAATGAAATATATTTAAAATTATTAAAATCTATGTAAATCCAAAAAAAAGATATGATTAACTAATAGGGCTACAATTGGGCAACGCAATAAAGTTGATCCGGCTACGTAATTGGGTTAACCCACGAGGCCCAATCTACATTACAAAGTCCAGGCCCTTCACACAAGACTCATCCAGACCAGATTCATGTTCAGCTGCTAAGTGGCTGAAACGGCCCACCAAAACCTTGATGGGGCAAAATGTTGAACGGGACTTGACCCATGCAGTATTGCAGTATTAATTGATTGTTACAATTTTTTTGGGGACTGAATTGATAATTATTACTCCCTCCGTTTCTTATTATAAGAGACATTTGATGCTTATGGCATATTTTCATATATAAAAGACACTTAAAAGTTGTCTCTATTTTTTTGTATTGATTTCCTATTTTACCCCTATTTATTTTGTATCCAACTCATACTCTCTCTCCCTTCCACTTCTCTTTCTTTTAATAATTTAATTGTTCTCTCTCATACTCTCTCTCCTTATTAATAGGGGCATTGTTGGAAAAAACATTATACTTTTTACACATTAATTATTTTCAACTAATTTTAACTGTTTTTTTATTAACGTAATTTGGTTATTTGTCTCTTATAATAAGAAACGGAGGGAGTATAATTTAAAAAGAGAGAAGAAAAAAAGATTTAAGTTTAACTGAAATAGATATATCATGTCTTTGAATCCAAACCAAACACAGAGATCGTACTTTTAACATGTTCAGCCTGTAATCACTGTTGCATTTTGTTTTGTTTTGGCCACTTAATTAATAACAAATCATGCATTATTATAATCACTCTTTGAGATGTGTGGCTTGTTGCTTTCGCCTTGATGAAACCATATGTAAGGCTCAATTCACATACACTATCTTCGGTCCTAATTATAAAACCTTGTTTGTGCCTTATAATCTAAAGACTGGATTTTATAATTAGGACCGGAGGTAGTACATTTTTACGAAAATTAAAGTTAATATCTTTAATTTAGCCACTAAAAATGCTTATAAAAAAGACCAAAGATTTGAAATAAAAATAAACAAAGCAAGAAAATATAATTCATCAATGATCAAGTAGAATCGATCATGAATAGGAAGACAATATATATGTCATAATAATAATGATTTCCTCGTTTATTCGTAGGAGACGGAACACACACACATATATATGATATGAATCACAAATCAATGCCATGGGCGGCAAGGGTCATCACCAAAACGAGACCTTTTGGTGGCATTTAGCATGCAGGCTTCATCTTGCTTGATACTCCAACTGCACTTAGTTTTGCAAGGCTCGTAATCAAAATAAGCATCGTAGAGGGAGGAATAGTGGCTCACACCTGCCCACCCAAAGGTACAATAAATGGTACCTTTGTTTCTATCGAAGTTGAATGCTGTGGTTTCACCGTCGCCCACAAGACGCTTCGCCGGCTCCGACTGCTTAAGATCCACAGTATATATGCAGCTCAGGGATAGGTTGAGACCATTACCTAAATTGTTGATCACCTCTACTTGTGATTCTCCTTCAAAACGGATGCTCGGATCTGATGCAACCAGAAGCACGCACAGACACAGTGACAGTACTAAGAGCTTCGTTTCAGACATCAATAATGTCTTATACCTCATCCTGCTCTCTACCCTTTCTGTCAATTCTCCCCAGCAGCGCTATTAATTTGTTCTATTTATTTACACCGTGCATCGTACAAGATCCATCTTCTGAGGTCATAGTGAAATCATAGAAAATATAATATTATACGATTGCCTTCGCAAATGGATTTTATTCATTAATTGTTGATATTACTTTAATTTGGTCTCTTCTAGATGGATTCTATTTTATTTTTCAAATAATGAGTCGTTGGATTTCAAATTCATGTTCTTTCTTTCCTTCTTTCCTTCTTTTTTGTTCAATGATAATCATTTCCCTACCTTTTTTCTTTCTCTCTTTTTTATTTTTAACGTCCTTTATAGTTGTCCGTTGTCAAGATCTGATTCATGTCTTTAATAATTCTTACACGAACGGTGTTTCAACTAAATTTTATTTTTTCCCTCAAATTTTAGAGGGAACTATATATCAGAGCGTCGAATCGTTGATATGTGGAGGAGAATACAGTGATCAGGCATATCAATAATCAAATATTTTTTATTCACTAAATTTAAAGATATTATATGTGTATCTTGGCACGATTCATTCAGTTTGAGAGGATAATTAGGGTCAAGATGCACACGAATTAATGTAGATACGATTGTGTCAGACAGAAGAAGAAATAATTTTTTTAATTGAAAAACGATGGTATAATTGGATCTGAAATTAATTATCTTCCTTTATCATCAGTAAAAGAAAAGAAATATAGCACCTAAACTTCCTATACACACATTATGAATATATAATGAAACAATATTGTGCTGTATTTCAATAAAAAGTCATATATTTGTCTTTCGACCCTAATGCAACGGATTCATACTTTAGTCACTGTCGGCTTATGTCGTACTTTATCATATGATATCTGTTGCTCTTTGTTTTTAGTTCTTACAACATGCAAAGTTAATTACTTATAGCAATAAAAATTCTGTTTTGATTATGGTGATCATATATGACTTTGATGGTTCTCCCTTTCTGATTTAAACTTGAGACGTACGACATACGTGTTCATCAAAACAATGACAAGTTGAATCTTTTAAGAATAATTTTGTTTCCCTAACTTAAGTCATCAGACAAAAATTCGTCGTCCTTTGATAGATGTCTTCAGCCATTTAAAAACAACAACAATACGAACCAGCTAATTTTCATCACTTCCAATCGAGTAGAATAGAATGAACATGCATGGTGAATCAATAAAATTTAGTCATAGTCATGAACAACATATAGCAGTTTGAGAAGACAAAATAAAAATCTCTTTATTCATCGTAATTAGTATTCGATCATAGATTATAGAGAGATGAACATGGGATTGCTAAGTGTTCCATGGTTGGCAAAAATTAAGGTCGGGAAAATTGTCTGCGTCGATCATACATGGCTGGTCTTGCTTGATCCTCCAAGTGCACTTAGTACGGCAGAAACCATAGTCCCTGTAGTTAACGTAGATTGGGAACAAGTGAGAAGCACCTGGCCACTTAAACGTACAATCAATGGAAGTAAATGGAATACGTTCTGGATCCAAACTGAATTCTTGGATCTCGCCACTCCCAAGAACACGCTCTACAGGCGGCGGCGACCTCGGATTCTCACCGGCATCTAAATATTGGCAATTTAGGGTTAGGTTTAGAGCGCCGTCTAAATTGTTAAGCACTTTCACATGCGCGTCGCCATGAACGAGGACGACGACGTTGGAATCCGATAATGCCACCACAAGCACTAACAGTACTGGCAGAATGGTTTTGGGCGGAAACAGAGACATTGTGTGCAACCTCATGCTGCTACTCCGAGTTCTTTCTAATGTTCAGGTTTTGTTGAATTATTTATAATATGTTAATACGAGATCCATTTCCTGAAAGATGTTCCGGTTTATGTTAATGCTGTATTGCATACTACCTCCGGTCCTTAATATAAGACCCTATTTGACTTTTATTTTGATCCTAAATATAAGATCCTAATCCACTTTGTCTCTCGTATTTATATATTTTTTTTCCAAAATAGCCCTTCTAACAATGATAGTTCTAATCAATACACTTGATTAGCAAGGATATTTTAGGAGAGACAACACCTATATAGGACAAATAATTAACTCAACTTACTTCCTTAATCTCCTCAAATTATTCAACTGGCTCTTATAATTAGGACCGGAGGTAGTATTAATTTCTGCATGTAATGAGTTTGGAAATTAGGTAAAATAGGATAAAAGATTACAATAATGAATGCGCGCAGATTCGTTGGTTATATGCTATATATTGCTTTTGTTTTAATTTGCCTCAAAAGGGTAACGCATTTAAACCCCTACTAATTTCAAATAACAATATAGTATACCAATTATTGTTCATTTCAAAATCATGGAATTTAATCCCGGCTTATTGATTTCTTATAAATGGCTTTTAATTTCTTATATCAATACTTCTCTATAACATTACATTATATACCAATCACTTTATAAGTTAGATAAATTAATTTAGAAAAAAAGTAATATAAATATGGAAAATAACGAGGATTATTTGAATTATTATATTTAGAATTAAATCTAATTCTTCAAGTAACTTGTATATAAGAGATCGGAGGTAGTACTATTATCTACTATTATGTTACACATTATAGTATTTTATACATTGCTGTACTAAGCACTTAATATATGTAGTATTAAAGTTTTATTGATCATTACCATATCATTAGGCCTTGTCTTATCATGTAACATAATATTATTAGGTCTTACTCCCTCCGTTCCTTATTATAAGAGACAAATAACCAAATTACGTTGATAAAAAAAACAGTTAAAATTAGTTGAAAACAATTAATGTGTAAAAAGTATAATGTTTTTTCCAACAATGCCCCATTAATAAGGAGAGAGAGTATGAGAGAGAACAATTAAATTATTAAAAGAAAGAGAAGTGGGAGGGAGAGAAAGTATGAGTTGGAGACAAAATAAATAGGGGTAAAATAGGAAATCAACACAAAAAAATAGAGACAACTTTTAAGTGTCTCTTATATATGAGAACATGCCATAAGTATCAAATGTCTCTTATAATAAAGAACGGAGGGAGTATCTTATAAGATGCTTCGTGTGGCTTATATAACTTCTCTTGGTATTTCAATTTCTTATATTACCTTCGGTTCTTAATATAAGAGCTCGTTTGACTTTTATTTTTTGTCTTCAATATAAGACTCAATCTATTTTGTCTTTCATATTAATCTTTTTTTTAAGATAGTCCTTATAATAATGATAGTTCTAACCAATACATTTGATTAGCAAGAATATTTTAGGAAAACAATACATATTTATTACAGATAACTAATTTAACTAGGTTTTTTAGTCTACTCAAATTCATCAACTAGCTCTTATATTAAGAAACAGAGGTAGTATGTGTGTGTATAAATAGTGTGTGTCTGCATGCTGTGAATATCAATCGATCTCCAAATTAGATGTATGATAGTTCAGGGTCGTGCTACTATGTGTGTGTCTGCGCGGCGAGTCAATTCAAAATATCTCTTAAGCTATATAAATATATATATATATATATATATATTTTGGTGTAAGTGACAAGTCTTTATGTGGTCAATATAATGTTAAACTCTAATAATTAGACGTCAAGAGACAGGCTGAAAATGAGAGTGTGATTAATTCTAAACTTTAAATACTCCAACCACGTATTTTTGGCCAAAGTTTTCAAGTTTCAATTCTGTTGTAGCTTTCAATGGACTTGCAAATTATCAACGAGTAGTTTTGATTGGCTTACTTGTTCATTGAACAAACCAATGCAAATACATCCAATCTCATTAATGCCCTGATTTGTATTAATACTCTTATATATCAATATAAATACATGAACCACTATTAAAATTGTTCATTGGATGAGCAGAGAATTATTAATTTTCATCTTTTATTCATAAATACCACCTCTCTTGTGTTTAATATAAGAACTAGTTGAGAGATTGAATATGGTCCTAAATATAAGAATTCAATTAATTATTTTGTCTCCTAAATTATAATTTTTTTCCTAAAATATTGATCATAATAAAAGGTTTTCATCAATAGGTAATGTCAATATATATGATTAAATAGGGTAGTTTAGAAAAGATAACATGTATATGTTATAAATAAATGACTTAATTAAGTTATTTCATCTTTTCAAATTAGTTATCTAACTCTTATATCAAGAACTGAAATTAACACTTATTGTACATGACTGCCCCTTTAAATAATGATCTGGCACAGCTCTTAAGACTGTAATTTAGTAATAAACGAATCTCTGCGATTTGTTTTCTTGCGATGCTCAGTCAGTTTTTTCATTTGGTATGTCTACAAGGTGCATCAAGATATAAAATTTACCGTTAACCACTAGGTTCTAAACAGTCCCTGTAGTCGAAGATTTAAGAAAAGGAAACAAAATAGGGAGAAAAAAGAAACAAAAAAGAACAAGGTAATAACACAATGAATTATTATTTTTAAAAAAATAATAAGAGAGAATAAATTAGTTCGATTTAAAAATAGTTTATTGCACACATTTGATCTCCCTTCGCAAATTACACTGATGCACGAATGAATTAAGATGGCTCCATCGACAATAAATGCTCGTTAAAACGCTTAATAATTAATATAATTTGCTTGTCCCTGGCCTCTAGCCACTCAAATTCTGGCTCTCAACAATGTAAATAATTAAATGCAAACCGAATCTCTTGAGTTCACAGCAATAAACTTGTACGTACGGTGTGTTTGAAGAGAGATAGAAGGAAGAAAGTGACAAGATGCAGGCTCCATACATGCATATATAGCAGCATTTTTAATTTACTGTTAGGTTCGTTCTCTCTTTTCAAATGCAAGGAATCCAATCCATCCATTTTTTATAAAATAATAAAAACTCATTAACATTCTAATTATATTTGGTTTCTTCCCAACCTATATATATAATTGAGATGGAGTCGAGATTCATTGCAAAAATAGAAAGAGTAGCGGAAGCAATATCATCATACGATCGTCTCAAATCATGAAATCCGTCATTCTCATACTCTCAGTTCTTGTGTTCTTGGCTCCACACTGGGTTGATGCCAGAACGCACGTGAAGATCACAAACTATTTATATGGCAACTTGGAGCTGAGAGTTCATTGCCGATCCAAAGATAATGATCTGGGGAATCACCTTCTTCGTGCCGAGCAAAGTTTTGAGTTCAGTTTCAGCCCTAATATCTGGGGCACAACTCTGTTCTATTGTAGCTTTAAATGGGACGGTTCTTATAAGTGGTTTGTTATATACGACGATGGAAGGGATGAATATAACTGCAATGACGCTACCTGCATTTGGCAGATCACGCAGGACCGGCCATGTCAGGTTAATGCACCTGGCAACGGTCTGCTTTGCTATCCCTGGGATGGCGAATAAACTTATCTCGATCTTAAACTTCAATTATTTTATTAGGATGTGATTGTTTTTGTATATCTTTGTTCGTTTTCTCTGTCTTTCAATTTGTGCTTCCATTTTGTTTGGAGAGAGAATGTTTTAATGTATTTTGGATTCCTTGCATTATTGTGTTCATGCATTTGAAGAGTTGGAGAGTGTGATGCAATAGAATGTCATTATGCAAACTTATAAAGGGTATATATAATGTCATAATTAATGACAACTTATAATGTATTCAATGAGTATTTGTTTCATATCGTATTCTTTTGCATTAAGTGCACAATATGCATTTCTTTATTTATTTGTCGGTCAACTCCCATCAGACACATATTTCCATGTGACTTTGAATTTGTGAATATGGCGAGCTTACTTCAACCTCTACATATAAAATCAAGAGTTAGTTAAGATTCATTATGAAGTAGAACGACAGTGGTAGCTAGAAAGAATCATGTCTCAAATGCTAAAACCCATCATTATCCTCGTACTATCATCAGTTCTTGTGTTGGCACCTCACTTGGTTGAAGCCGACACGCACCTGTCCGTCAACAACTATTTATACAACAGTTTGGAGCTGCTTCTCCATTGCCAATCTAAAGATGATGATCTTGGGCGTCACCTTCTTCATCCCAAAGAGAGTTTCAAGTTCCGTTTCAACCCTAATTTGTGGGGCACGACTCTGTACTATTGCAGCTTCCAATGGCCAGGTGCTGTGAAGTGGTTTAATATATATGAAGATGGTAGGGATTCATCCAATTGCGATGATGGTAAGTGCATTTGGATAATTAAACAAGACGGACCATGTCAGGTTAATGCACCTGGCTACGGTGTCATTTGCTATCCATGGAAGGGCGAGTAATCAAATGTTTATAAATCGATCTTCATGATGAAATAATAATTAAGTGATAATCAATACGTATTATCATTCTGAAGCATTGCATTTAATTTCTCTTTTCATATATCCCAACTGATTGATTCAGAGTGATCACGAATGTTCAGGCATTCAAACCAGTTAAGTTCTCGTTTTTTTGTATATCTTACGCTAATTTTTTCCTGGTCTGTTCATGTTTGGATTCCTTGCATTATTGTGTTTATGCATTTGAAGAGATGGAGAGTGTGGTGTAATAGAATGTGAATATGTAAACTTATAAAGGGGATGTATAATGTCATAAATGACCACTTATAATGTATTCAATGAGTATTCGTTTCATATCGGGTTCCTTCCATTAAATACACAACATGCACTTATTTATTTATCTATTGGTCAACTCTCATCTGACACATATGAAGTCATGGTGTTTGGAAAATTCCATAAACACTTAGAAAAGCATTTGTATACAAGTTAAAATAAATTTTTTTTCACGTACTTATCTCGTACACTATAAAATCATTTCTAAAAAACTAATTCAAACACCCTCTAATCTTACTTCAACCTATATTGTGTACACACGGACATATACATATACATAATCGAACATAGGGAATGGGCAAATTTCGGAACTCCATCGCCCTTTTCGCAATAGCTGTGCTTCTATTGGTATCAAACTTTGCTAATGACAAAACGCATGTGAGGATCATCAACATGTTAGATAATAATTTGGACCTGACTTTTCACTGCAAATCCGATGACGACGAGGAGAGCATGTTGTTCATCATTCAGAATATCTGGAGTTTAGCTTCAACCCCAGTTCTTGGGGCACAACTCTATAATGGGAAGGAGCTTTTAAGCGATTTGATATATACAAATATGGAAGAGATGCGAGAAAATTAAATGTGCTACCGAGCTATGCAATTGGAAAATTAGGCAAAATGAGCCATGTATCAGTGATGCTTACCTTCAGGATGAGGTTTGTTGTCCATACAAGGATGACTAACATGCATTGTAATATCATCGCATTGGTCTTGATGAGTAATAAATACTACCTCCGATCCTATTATAAGACTTTATTTGTGGTATATAAACGAGGTTTTATAATTAAGACCGGAGGTAATGATAAAAATAATTACTATTATTTGTTTGGACATTTCTTCTTTCGTCAGCTTCTTTCCAACATCGCACATACCTCATTCCCAATTATGTGCTTCAGCTTCAAAGATCCGATTTTGTTTTAGAGAGTATGAGAGCGAATCTGTGTTACCGGTTGAAAAAAAACGAGAGAGGGAAGAAGATTCGGCTAGCTAACGCTTTATATCATAAAGCGCTATCTCTTATTCCGGTTTCTCTTACTGACCGTAACACTTTAAGGGCAAACACTTGCTGATTTTTCTAGTAACTCCTTTTTTAAATTGCTACTTGGCGTGCGATCCTAAATCCTACTTTTAGAATAGCAACATATTAAAGACTTGCAAAGATATGAAATCGTAATATAGCAAATTAATTAAGGACGTTGGCCTGAGAAAGCATCTAATTAGCTTGTTTTTCGTCAAGAACATTATGCGCGTCCAGTTTCAATGTCGATCTTTTTGATACATCTCCATAGTCTATTGTAGCTTTCAATGAATACTCGCAAATTACTAGCGAGCAATTTTTATTGGCTTAATTGTTCATTGAACAAACCAATGCAAATACATCCCATCTTATTAATGTATTTGTGCAAGAATTTATTATTGGTATAAATATATGAACCACTACCAACGCTGGATGAAGAGAATTACTATCATGATCCGTTATTCATAAACAAATGTTGCACATGATCACCCACTTTAACTTTCAAGGCTGTAAATATTACTACTTTAGAGAAAAATTATAAATTTAACACAAAGTAAATTGAAATACCATATTTAAAATCAGATTTAAAATTAGCAACCGGAGGTGATAATAAATTGGCTCTAATCAATTTGTTCATTTGGCATATATCCAAAATCCAAAGCGAATCAAGAAATAAAATTTACCGTTAACCAATAGGTTGTAAACAGCCGCTGTAACTTCAGGCCAAAAAAAAGTCCTGTAGTTGAAAATTTAGGAAAAAGAAGCAAATAAAATAGAAGAAGGTAAACACCGTAACAACACACCCCGAATTAGTTTTTAAAAAATAATAAGAATGAATATATTGTGCTTAAAACTATTCGATTTTCTAGAAGAGTAGTTTGTGCCACCCCATAGCAAACTAGGGCAAATGAAAGTATACATCACTATCAATGATGCGCCAACATCAAGTATGGACAAATTTTACACTCTAGGAACAATGTGAGTAGCTAGATTTTGAGAAAATAATATAAAAAATATTTAACCGCGTTTTCAATTACTTAACTACCAACTTGCATATATCACACAGTAAATGACAATCCTATTCCACTAATCTGCAATAGAATATCCCCGACTGCTTTGAAGGGGTGTGAGCTAAATATTACAAAACCTACAGATTCGGCATCCAGCCAGCCCGCTATGCCTGGAGATCGAGAACGGCTTCCCCTGCATTGAAAAGACAGCCATCAATAACCCTGCCGCATTGTCGTATGTGGAAGAAAGAGCCACATTTGATATTCTTCACCTACTGTTAAATTAAAATTCATTTGTTCTCTTTTTTTTGTGAAATAAATTCATTTCATATTTATATGTGCATTAACTATATTTAACACTGCAATTGCTGGTGTGTTTGGTTCGGTCACTTGAATGCAATTGCTTTATTGAGATTGCAGTGACTAAATTTGCCCCACGCTATGACTAGTTTAATGAGTCAATTTAAAAGTTGGGCGTTGCACGTACATAGGCCTGTAAATGAAATCCAGTGTTCAATACAGAAATAGGCTGGTTATAGAGCCTCATAGGACTATGCCCTTTTCTCCTCAGGATAAGCCTATATCAATATTCAATTGAAGAGCACCATTTCTTGGGAACTATACTAATTACCAGGCGACGCAAGCATCCCTCTAACCAAGGCCAGAGAAAAATATCACTTTCTATGCTCCATAGATATTTCCAGAAATTAAAAGGAGGGAGAAAATAAATATTTCAACGCCTTCCATGCATTCTCTTCACAAATCGTTTCAAACTCTAAGAAGTTTTGTCTTTCCATAAGAAGTGGACTTAGTCTCAGGTAAGTAAACGATGTGAAATGTTTTCCATCCGGATCATTCATGGGCTTGGCATTATCCAAAATCTTATTATAGCCAGTTCTATTTAGGCAAGGAAGTGCATTCTCACTTGAAACTGGGAGGCAAACATCCCAAGCTGCATTCAACACCTGCCACGCACAATTAAAAGCACACTTCAGGGTAGACAGTTTTAATTCTGAAACATTCTTGAACATGCTTCAGATTTGTTTGAAAAGATCAATCATTATCACAAATTCCTTCCAAAAAAAATGGATTACATAGGAAACAAGCAAATAAAATATCCCCAGCTAGGATTAGATACTTACCTGCCAGACTAATCCCTCAGGATCTGAAAATGCCCCTGGAAGGTCCTCATGCTGGTTCAATGAGTGCAGGTCAGCGCAGGCTAAGTTTTAAACTTGATCCGTTTTCTTTAGCATCGCATAATTGCAGCATAACCATCACGATTGCACGAGTTATAAACCCAGCAGTTAATTCAGCAGCATGACTCACGGTCTTGTACCACCAGTGTATACTGATAGCTGTTCAGAAATTAAAATATAGCAAACAGACTGT